TTGCTAGCCTCACGCCCAACCTTTCCTCTTTACCGGTCTCACCAATGGCCTGGCGAAGTTTAGATGTGCGTCGGCCAGTCATGGAATTCCAAACCGCGTGTTTTCGCGGACATTCAACCGCTGAACCGCTGACTTTCTGCTACCTACTGAAAAGACTATTGGATTCTTGTATGTAACCTGACAGTAATTTACAAACTTTTTCATAAGATTACCAAAACAGTAGGCACAGGCTGTGTGGCCTGAGGCAAGTACATTGATAGCCCGATCATGAGTCTCCACCTCTTACTCATGACAGATGCAACAGTAGCTAAATATTCACTAAAATACTCTTTGGCAATGATGAACACTAGAAAACTTCCTCCTTTTTTCTCTCGATTTAATTGGCCAATGAGAAAACCTACATGAAGATACTGAAAAACATTCCATAGAGTTGGGAGAACTGCAGCTAAACAATAAAAGTAATAGTGAAGAACCATTCAGGTAAGTAATGATACAGCAATGCAGGCTGAAGAGTGGACAATTATAAAATACCAAACAGTGATTACATAATTGTGTGATAGGTCAGTACTCAATATCGATGCAGTGTTTCTTCCGACTGAAGTGTAGGAAACCGAAGGAGTTTGTCTATTCAGTTAAATCTCAGTCGTCTCGCTTTCAAAAGTCAGTTTTTTATCTCTGCTAACTGGATTAGATTGCGGTTAACTATGTTTCCAAAGAACAAGAGCTCAGCTGCGAGATGTGGTGTGATGTATATCTCCATACTCTGTTTATAAAATCCTTAACAAATGCATTCCTGAACAATTGTAATGGTCATAATGTGCATTCTTCAGTCGGGGCAGTGTCTGGATCAGCCGGCCAGCAGGATAGGTGGGCCAGGCCAGACAGTCGGCAGGTAGTGTGCTTAAGGTCAAGGTCTGGCAGGATAGGAGACTACGCAACAGTCGTGAGCATTATTCTCAGTTGAAGCCGATAGGAAACGAGCTCGGAGTCGTTCAAGCAGCGTAACTAACTGCTTTCTTAAAGAAGCACTTCTGAATTATCCTGTGGCTGCTCACAGAACATACCTCTTCACGAAAAGCTACTATCAATACCCTACAGGAAAAATGATTTCTTACACTATCTTCTCTCCCCGTTAATTTGGTAGTTTGTCGTTTGTGTAACTTAAATGTACTCAGTAACATATGTAACAACATATTGAACTTCGGTTTGACTATGGTGGCAGTGACTTGGCAAGTGACTAGTAGTTAGTCTAAGTTCCACTGGTAGCTCTAGTGCCACACATTATCTGACTGCATCGTATCTTTCCATTATGGGTAAAACTTATTTTGCTATAGCCTCACAGTGTTATACAGTGATATTTACTGATGATGTTTCGAGCACAATTTATTGCTCATAATGATATCAAAGTACTCACACAACTTTCTAACTTCGTTAATATAATTCCATTATTTTCCACCGCTTGATTTGATTGGTAGTAGTATTTCCATATCTCAGGTATGAATAATGAGTTGTTTTTATTGCACGTGCTGGGAGTAGACTGAATGAACCAGGATTCAGTAATCAATCTCTCTCCACCCATCTATATTACTTTTTAGAATTTTCACTCTGTCCCACCCTATTGTGTGGTTGCGTGTTAATGCATGCAGCGAGATTGCTGAGTTTTTCTCTAAATTACTTATCTTCGTGGGGTCAAGCATTCTAAACTTGGCTAAATTCTTATGTTTTGATAATCTCACTACTCCCGATCTAATAGTCTGACCTATGTAGTTGACTTAACTCACAATCATTGCAAGGTATTTTGTAAATTATGTTATTTTGTTTAATTGGGTCCACCGGGTCCTTTAACCTACGGAGCTTGTCTGTAAGTGAGTTTGTAGGTTTGAATGCCACCCTAATTCCTGCTTTATAAGGAATCCTACATAGGGTTTCAGATTTTCCCTCCTTCTATGGTATAATTGTGGATGCCCTATGTTCTTTCTTATTTATGTTATTTTTATTAGCTCCACCATTATTTTTATTTTGCATTTGCCCTTTTTTGATATTCCTAATGAATTTCATAGGATAGTTAGTTATTTAACACTAACGCCTCTTCTAGCTGTTCCATTTCATCGATTAGGCTTTTTGTCGTACTTCTTAGTGCTACTGCTCGGTTTGTTAGACAGACACTTGACGAAGCCTGTCTTTACAGACAACGGATAAGATGAACTTAAGTCTAAATATCCATTAGAATGCATTGGCTTTTTATAAACGCTAGAGTGTAGTTCAGCTTCTCCTGTTCGTTTTATTTTACAATGTAACAAAGCTGATTCTCCTTGTCCATTTTCTGATTCAAAAGTGAATTTTATTCCCTTTACTAGTGAGTTTATATGTGACAAGAAGCTGGAGATGTGTTCTGTTTTTAACACTGTGAAAGCGTTATCCACATATCAACTCGAGCCCGTTACACTCCATACCAAAATTGTATTTCACAAAGATGATTACTCAGCTTGTAGCTAACTGAATGCATATACAGGAACACCGAATTTCGAGTGAAAAACCAGGGGTGATGGCTTCTAACCAGTCTGCTTAGTATGTCTACTGTCACAAATAGCCTCTTGAACACGTCTTACATCCAAGACTAAAGCCGGGGATCGTTTTTTCAATTTACCAGTATTTCACCCCTAAAGATGTACTACGTCCCCACAAGGCACGAATGATTACCTTCTATAGGTTATCCGGAAAAGCATGAAGATAGTACTTCAGGTCTTTAGGCTGAAGCATATTTTGCAGCTGTAAAAGGTAGTGCTGAGTTATAGTATGATTTAGCTAATTCGTGATCCGGCATAAACTTCACTTTTACAGAAGCTGATTTTGAGAGTCAGCGACATCGTTTTGGTACCGAAAGGTATCCTAGTTCAATGGTGCGTCTAAATGATAGCTTGATCGAAAATACAGAAAAAGTTAAGGATTAAGGACAGACTAACTTTCGGGTTACAATGTCCTTCGGTGTTTCCAGGGTATTCATGGGGAGGAATCTTTTCTCCTGATATGCGGAGCCCTAGTATATGAAGCGCTGGAAAAATGGCTTTACGTTGCTTCTTATGCTTAAAACTAAGCGATTGCTACAAATCAGGCATAATGAAAATACTTATCAAACAGACATCTTCAAGAACTATACCAGAGATTTTAAAATGCATTTAATTTCTTTCCGTGGTTATATGTATTTATATGTTATATGTTTTAAACCCGTAAGGTGAATTCTGCATTCCAAACTCCCAATCACATCACTCTGGGCTGACATGATAAAATGCTACATTGGCACTTCCGGAAATAGTTAATATAGACGTGATATGACTTCATGGCCTCTGAAACCCACTTTCTCAAGGAGTCACAGGTGAGAATGCTAGAAAATCAATCATTCGCTCTTGCATTTACACGTCCTTTTAAGCCATATTATATGGCTTCCATTCGTACGAATTGTCACGTGCTAAACATGAACACTTCAGATCACTAATTCTAAAAGTGAAGGTGAACTGGGTTCAATCAACCTTGAAATGCTTTGTTTCGTGATTGGATTAACAAGGGAAAAATTTGATGTTTTTCAGGGAAAATAGCGGAACTCTCCGTTTTATCTGTTTTCGAAAAATTGTACTTTAAACTGGTTGGATGGAAGGCTTTGGCAAAGGGAGGGCTAATACAAGGTCTTGCTGACAGAATACGCAGAATTGCAACAACACCAGAGGATCAACGAAAAGAAACAAATATCTTATTCAAAATGTTGCTCGGTACCAATGACCAGAAAGAATTTATTAGAGATAGTATTGAGGAGAAAAAAGAGAGTAAAACCACGGAATAAAAAGAAAGAGGATGACAAAAAGACGGTGACAATGCCATAGAAACGGTACATCAGATTCAACTAAAAGGAATCTCAAAATTATTGGGACTCGTACCATGTTTAAAGCAAGGAATATATTTAGAAAAAAATTAATCAACTAAGAGATCCACTAAAAGTAAAGCATAAAAATGTGCAATTAACAAAATATCTTGTGCCAAATGTCCGACCAAATATGTAGGTCAAACGTCTAGATCACTCAAAATAATGGTGAATGAACTTCAACACCTAGCTAAAAGTCATCCCAATGGAATACAAGCTTACAGTAATTTAGAAGAAATTTCTTTCTATACTTACATATGCATGAGACGAAAGCCACAACATCGAATGGGACAATGTTTGTATTCTGAAATCTAATATGAACCAATTATAAGATAGACTAATAACAGAATCTATATTCATTGAGGTCACGCCGGATTTGTGTAACTTGGGAATTCAACACAACTGTCGACAAAATGGAATATAATTCTGGATACACAAAAATGAATGAAGAAAAAATATACCACACATATGGTTAAAAATCATAAAAGTGTGAATTTAAAAAATTTCAATAGTTGGTGTGATCATGAGCAGTAATTTTATTGGAAATATCACCGAGAAACAACCTATTATATCATATCAAGGTGATATGATTATGAGCAATAAACTGTGCTCGAAACGTCATCAGTAAATATTACTGTATAACACTGTGAAACTTTATCAAAATAAACTTTACCCATAATGGAATTATATTCTACCACAATGCACAAGTTTTATTCTAATTTCAAAAACACAGTAACTACGTCGTCGCAAATCACCAGAGAACTAAATTCAAAATGTCTTTCTCATCAGGTATTCAAACTGGGCAAATATATATCTGCATTAGTTTCAAACACCAATGAACTTCCGTTTGCTTGCAATATCAGTTTCAAAGGGATGAAAATTTCTTCTAAGTTTCTTATTTTCAGAATCAGTCTCATGGAAACAAAATATCAGTGGTAAATGTGGTTTGCAAAACGATATAATTCCCTGATTTTGCATAGTAACCACACTAGTATTACCTGCAAGCAATTGCTAGTAGTTTATTGGACATTGAACAACCATGAAATTAGATACTGGGAATTTTTTTAATATCATAATAACAATACAAAATGTTAATTGTTATCTCCTGTTTAATCACGATATTTTTTTACCACTTTGGCAATCGCGCGTAATAACCAACTGATGTTTACCCCAAGATTTTAACTGCGTTCACGCTTTTGGTGATTTCATGTGGCCGGTTTACTTTGGGAATTCGCAACAAGTTCTGCCATTTTATTTAATTTAGAGTGAAGTGCAGTTTCAATTATGGTAAATTCACATTTTTATGTGACGGAAATTAAGGAGCACGAGGAATATGCTCGTGAGCTAGCTGCTCATTATAAAATTAACCCCCATTTGCCGTATCATTCTATAATTGAAGAACTAAAGAATGTGCTTGATTCCAAGCGCTCAGATCTGCAAAAGCTTTATAAAATGAAAGCTGGGGTACAGAAGTTACAGGATGCTGCGGGTGGGAGTTTTTCTGCTGTCGTTCGTTCAAGCAGCGACTTCATAAATGGACCTATTTTATCTGGACCTAAAGAAAGTTACACCTTGGATCGAAGATCTAGTCGTGTCACCACTTCAGAAGTCATTAAAGGAATTAACAGTGATGTTCAAGACTTGGCAGAGGATATCGGAGATTTAGAAACGTCGCTTCTTTTACTAAAGCACTACCAACCCAGTTTAGGTAATTATATGTCCAGTTGATGTTTACACATCCGTTTCACAGATTGTCAGAATTCTGTCGCAAATTCAGTTGGTGGTTGCGATAGCATAGAACAGCGTCTGGGAGAGTTACAAAAAGCCTTGGATATAGAGTTGCAGGTAGTGAACTGCTCATGTTTTCAGTTTTTGTCCATGTTTAGGTCCGCAGTGGGGCAGAGCGTCTAATTCAGACATATAAATCAGGTCCTCGTCATATTCTTGATGAAGCTAAGAAACAGTATGAAAATGCCAACAACAAAATTGGATTTATTCGTAATCAAATGATTCGTGTGAAACAAATGAATGAAGGATTTTGCCAGGTAAACTTTTCATGACTCATTAAATTAGCCTTCAAAATAAACTTATTCGCCCCTGAGGTGTTTATTTGTGCTGTAATAACTTTAACATAGTTCATTTAATTGCATCTATTTCTGCATGTAGACAACAAACTCTTTTTAGTTTTAGACACGTTAATTCCAGGAGCTTAGTAAACCACAGATTTTCTCAATACTGTCCATCAGTTTGTAATGTCTATGACTCGGAATCACTTCAACCAGAACAGATATTCCGGTGTTTTCGCTAGTCCTATTGTTTATTTTGTTATGTGTTTTTTGTTTTTACCGCTGCTACTCTCTCACTCCTTTTTCAGATGGTAAGTCTTGGATGTATGTGTTCATTATTCTCTATGTTGTAGCTGAGTATACATAGGAAGTTAAAAGAGACTATTTGCATATTAACTGATTCCTACTGCTATCTGATTCTTGATATTCTACCAAGGCTTTTATCAGTAGGATATCAGAGTCAATATAAGTTGTGAAGCTACATAGATTGAGGTGGTTAGGCATGCGTAACCTATGTCCTAACCGTCGCCTTCCTCGAAGAGCAATATTATAAGCTAACATAAGATCAGGTTGTTAAGAGGAGCTAATGGTAGTCAAATCAGCCCATGTAATCTTTGACAGTTAGTTTCAGGCATGTAGAGAGGTGCAGACTACCGGTTTAGGGTCTTCGGGACTTTATGCACCGATGACTAGAGTCTATTAGTGATATGGCTCGAAATCGTTCTCAGTGTCTAGGATGTATTCCTCTTTGTGATCTGCCATATCCACTAAACCCTGTTGTTTTTCCATATCACTACCTTCTTCACATTTTTGCTTCTTATCATTCTCTCGGATCTCTTCTCTCTTTTGTCGTCTTCTGTGTGTTACGTGGAGTGTAGCAACTCGAACTGCTACACTTCTGTGCAAATTTCTATGTTGAAACCAGTCAGTTGAAGTCGATATTCATATCCGCGTATCAAACACGATACAGTTTGTTAACTTCTTTCTAATAGTCATACTTAACCATGAAAGTACTGATAACTACCTGAATAGATAGTCCGAGTACATTCCTACTTACATATTTTTTGTCACGAACGCTTAGCATGTAAAAGTAGAGTATTTCTTTGTTGCTTCTATTTATTTTGCACTGATAAGTTGCTAAAAGCTGCTCGTGTTAATGAATATAGGTGTCGTGTGAAATGGTACAGTACCACGCACTCAAAGGTATGCCCCATCCTGCCTACTAGCCAAAGAGACTTTTAAGTAGTAAATTTAAAGGCTTTCAAGCTTAGCCTTGGTGAGGGGAGTGGTTGAATAAATATACAGTTACTCTCGATCTTCGGGGTATCCCAATCGACCTAACTCGTCCGTTCTCGGACAAGTGTGGTTCATAGCCTGTTACACGGAAAACTTGTTTTTGTTACCTTAGTTTTTCCTATTTTGATGTGAATCATTTTTTATTTTAGTTTATAAAATGATAAGATGAGAACAGAGTATGTTTTTATGAGCATATTCATTAATTTTCGTCAAAATAATTATTACAAGTTACTGATGATTGGCATCTAACATGTGTACTCCATTGTCAATCTGGCTAAATAAAAGTCGATAAAGGTGACTACGTTTTGTCGCTAAGCAGGTGGTATCCATTTGGAGGTATTTAAAAACAACCTAGAGTACACAGTCTAAATAATTCTGTTACAGGACTACGTGGATGGGAGTGCAGCGTGTTCTTGGTAGCTTAACAGAGAATAGTGATGCTTTCGTGTATTGCATTGTCAAGTGCAAGTCTTACTGCACTGCAACATCTTGTAAAATAAAATAACTGGACTAGAAAGTTACTCGGGTTCGTATTAAAAACATGACATTCTTCCTATAGATATCCGAAAAATGTGATCTAGCTTACTATAAGGATGTGGAAGAAAAACTGTAAATAACTGACATTCATGAATTCATCTAGATGATTCAGTGACCACTCATAGACTGTATTTTAGACTACTGCAATAGCTCTTCATAGTTTGCGCTCATTTTCATCACAGGAACTACACATTGCAGATGATTCACTGTTTGGTGGATGTGGCTCACTGAGTGTTGATATCCCATTCACGAATGGTTGAATTGAGTGGAATTACATACTGTCTTGTGGATATCAAAATAACAGCACTGCAATGGGTAGTAATTCTCATTTGTTCTTGATGTGAACTGGTATCATGTACTGTGAATAACTGGTTAAAGTCTTTGCGGTTTTTCAATCATTACTTCAAAAAATTTTATTTTATTTTAGAGTAAGGTTTATTATGCTTACTTTCCTAGGATATGGAGTCCTTTTAATGGGCTAGTACCTAGAAAAAAACTCGCTCAGTGCTTGTAAAGTGACAATATTTGTGACCTCAATGAGACGTCCTATTCCCCATTGAAAATAACTTCCTTCGAAATCTTATGTGGCTGCCACATATGCCTGTTAAATTGCAGTGCGCTGAGGGAGTAATGTTCTTCAAAGGTGGTGGGAAAAGATAAGTACTGATGTAATTCAATTCAAGTCAGTCGATTGTGCACCGCGTGTAATGTACAGATGTGTGACCACTTTGCCAGTACGTCTTAATATTACGACCTATTTTAATAATGTGTGTTGTCAAATACTCTGTTGTTCCTTATTTAGTACCGTTTTATACATACCATTACAATCTTAGCATATTTCTGTTTCCATTTTGTTCATACTGGGATCATTCATAATTTGTTGACGTCTAATTTTCCTCCAGTCAGATACGTCATCCCTTGGTCAGGTGCGGACAGTTTATCTGATACAGCTAAAACGAACGGTTCTATGACGACATCTGCGTCTAACAACCAAGAGAATTTTCTAATATGGAAAGACAAAGTGATAGAGTTGGCACACCGTTTACGAGTTGAACGTGCTTTATTCACTGGTAGTCGGAAGGCTGTTAATGCCGTTTTGGACAATCAAGCTCATGTAGATAAATACAGAAAACTGCAGGTATGGTTTTTGGTTTTATCTTTTTTTGTCATATATGTTGGAAGAAAGTTAACTACAACATTCATGTTTTCAGAAACAATAGCGCTGTAGCACTGTTCTTAACTATTTTCAACTTCATTTCTTTTTTCTCCTGTCCCATGAACTCTCGTGGAGTGTCACCAACATCTGCAAAAGTGTCTGCTTGATACGATTTTATTGTGTCTTTATGCTAATTTGTTAAGCATCGCGGTACGCGCAGTGCCCTGCTCACATTTTTCCATCTGTTCATATATGTAACTATCGTTCGCTTGGGGTGCACTTTTCGAAGCATAAATATATATATATATATATATTTGTAGTCCACTATTGTGTTCTGGATATGAATTCCTTGCCGTGACTCGTACACTTTTTCTTGAAGAAGATTGTGCACACTTTTAGAATAATATCTTCAGTATATGTGTAATTTTCTACTCAAATGACAGACGATTAATACTAATCTATCATGGTTACTTTCTAGCTACAAGGCTGTTATCACCTAAACACATTTCCGTAGTTAGGTCATGGCTTGTCCTATGAAGTAACTTTTAAAGTATTTATTTAAAAGATGTTAGTCTTTTATGAAACAAGTGTGCCTGTTAATTAGGTGTGCTAAATATTCACCTATAAAATGCTAAAAACTGCATTGTAATAACGTAGGTAATCAGCTTACACGTAAAAATGAACCTTTCGCTCAGTAGCACACACTGTTAAGTCAACTCACTAACTACTTACGGAATCATCTTTAGTTTACAGCAGTACGTGTTATATTAAGGAGGATAACATTATCCCATTCCTCGAAATGTGAGGTGGAATTTAATATTTCAACTACTCAATTAAACCTGTAGGCATTTTCGCACTCTATTTTCATGCTTGTTTTTCAGCTGTTATGTAACTTTCCATTGACTTTTTATAGGTTCTTCAGGAGGCTCGCGAATCACTCCACAGGCTTTACCTATTTCAAGAATCAATAAAGCCACTTCTGAAAAGACCACCATCAACACAGTCATCCGAAATGATTTCTTCTATTGTCGATGACCCAGAAATGACTTTATTATTATCTCCGCCGTGGTCTAATACTTCGTTCCATGCAAATAGTTCACTGACGATACCAAACCCACCTACTGCGATTACCGGCAGTCTGGAAGTTCGATGTTTAGGTTGCCAGGATATTGTGGATGTGTTTCCAGCAGACCTTGTAAATAACGAACTTTCAGGCACATCGACCAACAAAGGGATTAATGCGATCCAAACAGTTATGACATCACGTATATCAGATAATCATTGGGGTAAGCGATTATGTAGTGTACACTTGTTTGAATTGCGTTGTAAATTATGTTATGCAAGTAATTCCTTTATTTGATTTATGTTACTAGAAGCGTAGATTTGTGGAATTTTATTTTTTTAAAAGTAGCTTAGGGACTTGCTCAACTTTCCATTTTCCAAAATCTCAAATTATTTTGAACTGCTTCTCAATGATGGTAATCCATTAAGAATTGCGTGCTGAAGTAGTTCGCGTTTATGAGAATATCATGGTTGAGTTAAGCGAAACTGATATAGTTCACAAGCTGTATATTTTGATTAAATTCCATTTCACTCATTCCAGTCTATACACTTTGTTATGCGTCTATTCCTCTTTACAAAGTTAAAGTTAGTCAAAAAAAAGCCTCTGAATTTTCATCCTTTTCTCGTATTGTGCTCAATGTATACAAAAAATGGGAAGTTGTGAAGTGTTTATTTAGTGTGAACTGATTATTATTTGGATGGCAGTCATATCCCGGTTCAAAGCATTGAATGTATGTTTTCAAATAATTACAGAAAAACATCGAAGCCAATACATATATACTTCTCATATTTACTGCAAACAAACATTTGCAACACTTACCGATCTACATATCATGCTTTTTGATCAAGAGTGGACCCACTTATCGCATTCATATGCTAGGAGAGTATTGTTCACTATAGTCATGTGATGGATTTATATAGGTGATGAGTTGTAAGTGCTTGTTTCATTCTATGAATTCTATGAATTGGATCACTTTAGGGCTGCACATATCATCCAGTTTTGACGCTTTTACCGGTAATGTACATTTCGGTATAAAACGAAACAACAAACAATTGTGGTCAGAAAAAAAGTTGAAATGTCAGTGATAATTGTTAAGTCTCAAAAAGCTTGCATTCATGATTTTCGTGCAGTTTTGAAAATTAGCCTTGTTCAAATACGACCATGCAAAGGCCTCATGATTTTAATGCTCGAATTAGCTAGAATTAACTTTAGGCCGAGTGGTAAAATTAAGTTTTCACTTCTAGACTAGGTCTCCCTTAATGGAACTCATTGATTTAATCACTGAACTTTCAACCATTGTGTTCTGGGTTCAAATCCTATTCCACCTACCTCATCTTAGACGAACGGGTAATATCATCAGCTCTTAAACGTAACTCATAGTTGGACACATGAGTGAGTTCGTTTAAATTAGAATCCGCTAGCGTAGCTATACTTGCTTAATTTAGTGGATGATTGCAATCCTGTTATGATTCTCAAGAGATCTCTAATCAACATACTATTCAATATATTGTCTCTTGCCGTCACTCATACCCTAAGAACAATTGTGTTGCACCAAAACATCACTCCTGGTGGACTCAGGTCGGTCGGTCGATCGGTTTTTGGCATAGAATTTTGCACATATGTGCGGCAGTTCAAGTCGCCACACTCCATGTAGCACACAAAGCAAAAGAAAGTAGGAGAAATGCATAATAGAGACAGTCAACAGAAGTGTGAGACAAAGGAATAGTAATAACGGAGAACAAAACAGTTTCATTGGAAATCATGAGTCACAAGGAGTCACAAGGATGCATCTGCGCCACTGAGAACGATTTTGAGCCATGTCACCAATTGTTTCCAACCATTGGTTTTTACCGTCCCGAGGACCACAACCAGGAAGTCTACACCTTCCTACGTGGCTTAGACTAACTGTTGTGGATTTCATTGACTGGTGCCATGTTTTCGTTTGACCGCCGCTAGCTCTTTCCCAGCTAACATTGACCGTCGGTCGAGGAAGGCGATGACTAGGCATACGTAGCACATGTCCTAACCATCTCAGTCGATGTAATTTCACAGTCTCGTCAACTGATTTCCCCTCCTTACCTAATACTCGATGCCTAACCTCAATGGACTCAGGTAGAGTATGGCAATTTTTTATTTGTCACTATATATGTCTCAGCAAGCTGATTTAAAGTGTGGATAAGCATTGATGACCAAGCAAAGTCATTTTTTTGGTTTCTGGAAATATTCTGCTTTGAGAAATGGAATTTTTGTGAGTTACATACAGCTACATATCTATGAGTTGGTAGATCTCAAGTACATTACTGCTCATAAGTTGCGGGGAAAACCTATGAAACCTAGTCATTATTTAGTGTGAACGCCGATGGACTGAAAGCATTAGTGTTTGCAGCTTGTTAGCAAATATCCTGAAGAATTTGAGGTTTAGGCAGCAGAAAGCCGGATGATATTATGTGTATTTGCTGAAATGCTAATCATCAATATCCAGAGAATTTATGATACCTTGGCTGTTCAGAATGTGCTGCAAACAAAAAAGAGCCAACGTCTGTAACTGCTATGTAAAAGACCAGCAGCACTTTATCCTTCAAACATTTCTCCTATTGATTTAAGTGTCCTTAAAATTGACGGTAATTTCAATTACGGAGTTTTCATGCTCTATGACAGATAATATTCCAACCCAATAACGACTGAGATCCACTGCCTATTACACTTCGACGTGACTTACTGATTCTCTCTCCAGGTATTCTAATTTTTAGTTTGTAAAATAAAGTAGCACTCTTCAATAAAAGCTGTATGTTTATTTTAACACCACTTAGTAGTTTTAGGCTTGCATGAATATCAAGTCATTACATAGAATTACTTTCTTTTTATTCTCAGTGGATGTTCGATGCTCTTTACTCGTCGATCATAAACGCGTTTGGGACTCGCCATGGCGGCAGCCTAATCAACAGTGTTGGGATGCAAAAACCACTTTCAGTATTGATCGAGGCAAAGAACTAGAAGTTCAGGTGTACTGGAAACGTATGATTCTTCCGTCAAACTCATCCAACTCAACCAGTCCTTCAGCATCTACTGCTTCAAACAAAAGTGGATCATTTGATGATTCTGGTTCTGGACTCGAATGGGTTTTGGCGGCTGTGAAGTATGTAGTTGACGTGTTTTTTGTTTTACTCTTACTAAGTATGCCAGGCTTTTTTTCAGCTATTCAAGTGATCTTTTCTTTTTGCTTCTATTTTATGTTATAGTTACTTACGTCTAGAGGAACTACTCAGTGGTGATTCACGTTCTGTACTTCTTCCTATGCTACCGAAGGGAAAGGTTTTCCTTGTCGTTAAATTCTCTGATCCCCTTCTTTCTAAACCACGGTGCAATTTACATCGTCAAAAACGTTTGTTTTCCAAACGCAAAGGTATGATTTTGTTGCTTAACAATATTTATTTATTTTTTTTTACTAAAAGTTTTGTGTAGCGTAATTTATCTGATTTGCAGTAATCCTGTGTCATAAAAAGGTAATTAGATTGATGCAATTTAATAACCGTGCACTAATTTCTGTACACTGTGTTGATTATTTTGTTGTGTCTGGGATAAGGATGATTTCTGACTAATTGAAATAGAAGTAGATGGGTAGTTTTAAGTCCACAATTCATTCACCAAAAGTTATTGTGCTTAGATTAGCTGGTTATATTTCTCTACTGGTTGTATCCTGGTGGTTTGAGGTGACTAGTAGTGTTGTCCAGTTGTGTTGATTATTTGAAATAAAATTGTTTACATTAAATATCGTTCCTTTATATTTGAGTGTTTATCAGGTGAAAATGGCTTAAAATTACCTTGCGTGGTTATTGGTTTAATTTCAAATAGATAAGGGAAATATTACTAGTGAACAACTACCCACCAGAATTTATTCAAAAACATATGAAGAACCATAGGAAAACTAAGATTAGCGATAAAAAATGACGAAAATAACAAAGAATTCCAAGCCTCTGTAGTACCACCGTATAAAGAAGAGACGCTAGAGGCTTTACATAGAATTCCCAATAAGACTGGAATTAAGGTGGCATTTAAACCAGCGAAATAACTCTCTCAGAGATAAACTTTGTCGGCTTAAGAACCCAATAGATCAAATTAGGAAAAATAATATAATTTACCAAATACCATGTATTGACTGTTAGTGAGGTCAATTACATAGGTCAGACTAGTAGATCGGGGTCAACTAGATTATTGGAACATAAAACTTTAGCCAGACGCCACACACATGCAATCGGAATGACACAACGCCTACACCGGAGATATGGAAAGTGGCAACAAACAACAAAGGAAAGTTGGAGAGACAGAAAGAGAGAAAACATAAATAGGACAAATTGTGAGACTGTGTGATTAAAATTGATATGATTATGAGCGATAATTTGTCATCCAGTTGTTAATACTGCGTCACTGTAATTATTGAAACAAACTTATCTTAAATGGAATTACATTCTACCACAGTACCCAAGTTCTACACTTACAATAATGAAAAAGTAAAGGTTTTTGATTCTATTTTGGTAGAAGTATGGAATTTTCAGCATGGATATTAGCCAAATTCAGGCCGACCATAGATATCGGGTGTGCGCCGGCAGGGGATCGAACCTCGGACCATGTGCATGGTTGGCGAGAGTCCTAACCACTGTGCCACCGACGCACAAAACTATTACTGACTTACACCAATTTTGGGGTTTGAAGTTTATCAAATTAAGGAGGGACCACTAATCTTATCGTTTCGCGAATCCGTATTACAATTTTGGAGCCTTGCAAAAATGACGTCAACTGCTTTGTTTATTGTCGCATATCTGATCCATTAATTCCACTCTTTAAAGTTTATTTCAGTCCGATATTCTACCCGTTAGTAATATATCAATGTTCTGGTGTAAATCGATCGGATTTATTTAGGTTACGGTGGCTAAACAACATATTTGAAACCATATATTGTCAGAAACACGTGACTGGATTTCGTAAAACATAAAGCTATGCTTTAGGTTTTGTATTTCCGTTTTTATATAGCTTAAGCATTGGCCAGTTCCATTACACACAAATAGCATAATTTTATTTGATAAAACAGCGTTATGGAATCATACTCTACCACAGTGCCCAAATTCTACTTTCATATTACTGATGAACACACATTTCTGAAGTAATCATGCAGTGCATAATACTCACTGGTTATTTGTAGCATACTTGTGGTCGGTTAATTAGGTGTCACATCTAGTGGCAATTTCGAATGGTATGCACGCAATACATTGTATGTATAAAGCAACATTTGTCACGTATTGTAATAATCGCTTATCAAACCAAGTGTATTACATGTAGTGACATTTTGTGGACAGAACATATCCATAACGTTTGATTTAAAAACGGTGTGATTAATCAAGGACTAATCGCATGGCAGAGATGGCTCATAGACTAGGCTTTCAACTAGTGTGAGTTCCGGGTTCGATTCCCGCTCCATCTACTTCAGTCTGGATAATTAAGTAGTATCATCAGCCTTGACACAATAAGTGTCGCTTATAGCTTGAAACATGAAATACCTGTTCCGAGAACTGAGTTTACTTCCGACTTCTAATTGAGCTTGCTTTCAGAATTTTAATAGTGACAGACATATGACTACTACAACTTATCATAGTATTCGTGCGCGCATATTATTATATATTTATTTATTCCTTTACGTTCCTAGTGGAATATAGGACTTCAAGCTAGGGCTTTGAAGTTTCGGTAGCGGTGGTCTTATTTTTACGGGTGGGGTTACTACTATCTTGACGTCCAACCTACCCTCTTTACTAACCTTACTACTTGCTAAGCGTTGGTTAATGATCGAACATCTGCGTATAGTCAGTGCCCAATTATTACTAGGAACTATAAATGTTTACAGGATTTCATCATGAGCTGACATTGGTTAGAGAACCATTGGAAAACCTGGGAGTACTGGACAGCTATTTCGTCCTAGTTTGGGACTCTTCATCAGTACGCACCCACCGGGGTTTGAACCCAGGACCTTCTGGTTACAAGGCGAGCTCGCATACCATTAAGCCACTGGGACCCGATCCAATGGCCCATGAATTCTAACTTCTGCCAATTCACGATATAGCGCAACCGCTAGCCAATGTCTTCGGCGAGTATTTGTCCTCACACCCGACCTGCTGCACCCTACTGGTTACGACTTCCCACTGGAACCCCAGGTAACTACCTACCTGAATAGGGCCAGTCGCCAGTGAGCATCTCATTGATATTCAAGTATCGGGTCCCAGTGGCTTAATGGTATACGAGCTCGCCTTGTAACCAGAAGGTCCTGTGTTCAAACCCCGGTGGGTGCGTACTGATGAAGAGTCCCAAACTAGTGACGAAACAGCTGTCCAGTACTCCCAGGTTTTCCAATGGTTCTCTAACCAATGTCAGCTCATGATGAAATCCTGTAAACAATCAACCAAATCCCTACAAACCAATACTTGAATAACTATAAATGCTTGGAAAAACCATCTATTGAACTTTGGATTTTCACAATTTTTAGTTTCTCTCTCTCTCTCTGATACTGGCAATTATTTGACAAAAATAATTTGATTACACGTTGGATAGTTTTTTAGGAGAAAATGCTTAACAAATTTTCTTGTGCTTTTTTCTCTCTTAAGGTCATAATATTCCACGTATTAATGAACTCGATATGAATATCCCCTTATGGACTCGTATGCTCAAAAGTGGTCAGCTGTCTAAAATGAATCGATCTGTTGGTGGTGGTGGTTCTTGGACACTAAGTCATTCAGGAGAATATGGTTCTTCAGGATCTGTATTGATGCATGGTCTGGAAGGTCGTTTCCATCAGTTGAATACATCTCTTAATGATTCACCAGTTCTTGCTCATGTGAGTTTTACATTTTTACATTTACCTTTTAAAATATACAAACTATTCACATATGAATGTATAAATGCTGATGAAAGCACTTAGGTATTTCATATCTTGTATTTCTATACGAATGATCATGATTTAATCTGTGATAATATCAATCGTTCCTCCTTGTTAGAGCATTTAACTCCAGTGATGTAATGTATTGTTAACCATCTAGCGATGAATTTGACCTTTTCTACTCTTGTTTGGGTAGGCAGTTTGAGTCGGTGGCACAGTGGTTAGGACTCTCGCCGACCATGCACATGGTCCGGGATTCGATCCCCTGCCGCCGCACACCTGATATCTATGGTCGGCCTGAAATTTGGGCTACCGATATCCATGCTGAAAATTCCATACTTGTACTGAAAATACGGTGTGGCATCAAGCTGTAATAAAAAAAATGATCTTTTGTCTTGCTGATGATTAGCTTGAATTATGCTGTCACACTTTTTACACCTAGTGATTTTTCTTATTGAAAAAAAATGAAAGAAATTTCATGCATTATACTTCGTTCCAGTTGTTTTTTTTCTAGATAAGAAAAATATCTTCTGTTACTAAAGTTACACGTGACCGACCTTATTATCAGTTATTCTCATAAATATATGTACATATATATATGGCAGTTCGACAGAAATACCATTTAACATATCGAATTTCATTTCCAATAAGGTTTTCTTCTGCACAAATTTTATCTTATAAAAATCAATAAATAACCAGCTTAACCTACCATTTAGTTGACGAGAGTGCAATTGCCTTCTTTTACTAAAAACAGTTGGATACTAGCCAAGACAAAAATGTATGAGTGTTTGTGTGTTTGGTTCTAAAATTTATTGATCTGGAATTAATTACCTGAATATCTACTACTACTACTACACAGTACAACAATAAGTAGAGTGACTTACAGATTATGGTTAATATTCTTTAGTTTTGGCGGTTCGAAATTTTTTAAAGTTTACCGTCATCATGATCATCATAGTTAAAGTTTAGCGAATTAGTTCCAACTAAGTTATTTACAGGCGACAGCGGTTTTTGTTTTTGTTTTTTTGTTGAAAAAACAGTTTATTTGATTAGACAAATGTTTATTTTGATTTCGGGAATATACACTACACTTGCCTTCGTCATTAAATTCGCCTCTTCATAAGAGGAAGCTCAGTAATTTAGATCAGCAGAAGCTGCATAGTAAATAAAAGTATCAGTAAAAGTGGAATAATGTGGTCAGGGATTTAATTGGTGATTGGTTTTTCATGCTCCCCTCAATATATACACATACAAAAATGCTTATGGATGATGCATATGAAGAACTCATTCTATGTGATAGCATTTTAGAAAATATACTAATTTATTGACAATTCAAATACTTCAGAGGGATATTATTTCATAAACGGCGCGTCAACTTTTCCAGTCCGTGAATGGTCCCATTGTATGCTAATGATAAACTGCAATTGTTGAGCTAACTTGATGTGTTTAGTCCGAGTTTAATTGATTCCGTGGAGTTAGTTACATTGGCTGCACAAAGTGTGTGCTTTCTAAACGTATATCTGGAAGTTATCCTTCATGTACGTCGAGAGGAAAATGAAAAAAAATTGTCAGTGCATTTGATATAATCGATTAGCATTTTGCTGGCCTGTTTGTTTTGTTTAATGTATTGTCTGGAACAACTGGACATTATCGCTGTCGACTGGTTGTGAACATGTTTTTCATCATAGTTGTGCGTCGGTGGCACAGTAGTTAGGACTCTCGCCAACCATACACATGGTCCGGGGTTCGATCCCCTACCGATGCACACCTGATATCAATGGTCGGCCTGCAAAATTTTGTCTACCGGAATCACATGCTAAAAATTCAATACTTGTACCAAAAATACGGAGTGGAGTCAAGCTATAATCAAAAAGAAAAAAAATTAGCGTATTCGGTTTCAGCTTTTCGAAGATTTTCTTTATTAATTTTCTCCATGTATATACTCTGAGATCATGTGAACATTTAAGCCTCTCTGTTTGTTTGTCTTGGAACCACACATTCAGTTCGGGGTTCGACCTCCGGCCGACACACTCCTAAATCCCGCTTAACAGGTATGAAGGCCGGCAAAGACGAAAGGTTGGGTGTGTGAGGCAAACAACCTCACCCTGTAAAAATTAAGACCACCGCTACCGAAACTTAAAAGCTCTAGCTTGAACCCCTATGTTCCACTCGGAGCGTAAAGGAATAAAAGAAATTTGTCTATTTACTAGAGTTACTTGTACTTGTCAAGTATTTTATAACCTTCACTTATCTTTTTGAGACATGTGATTTTTAACTAAGCGTATTTTTTGAAAAAATCATCGGTGGTTCAGTGGTAGAATGCTCCGCAGCGATACACGTGGTTCGGATTCGATTCCCGCTCTACGCGCACCTAAACCTCTCTTAGTTTTGCTAGCCAGTAGTAAGCTCAGAAAAGAAAGAAGGTTAGGTGTAAGGCTAGAAACCTTCACACCGTCACTGAAACTTCAAAGCTGAAAGTCATATGTCTGCTTGGAACAAAATTAAAGAAAACATAGAGTGTTTGGAGGAAATGTTATTTCTCGTTATTGTTGCACAAATAGCAAAAGGGACAATGACGGTAAAATGCATTAGATGAGGTCAGTTATTTTGACAACTATTTGGCTGAATAATTTTTATGTTCTTGTCGTTAATGGCAGTATTAGTCATCAATTCTCGGGGGTGCTACTAATAGTATTACCTATGCATATCTTGAAGCACTGTCTGGTCCTTTAAACATGAAAGTACCTGAGCCTCCACGCTTCATGTACGGGAGTATAACAAATCTAACTAACCTAATATTGCTATATTTCGAAAAAATTATTGCAGTTATTTGTGCAATAAGCATTGAGTACTTGTTTATATTAAGTGTCATTACAAAATCGAATGTTTTGACAGACTGAAATATACAGTCTTTAATATTAAGTTGTCATGTTCTTCTATTCGTCGAAATTGTTCGGCGTCATGTATCTAAGTAAGAAGAAACTAATTGTATATCTGTTTACTTTGATTTTCTCATTTGCTATTGATGGCTGATGACAGATATTTATGGTTCTAAGTTAAGGTTTACAGTAATCTTGAGGTTTTTACTGTTATAATTGGTTGGTGTGTGTGTAGATGGCGTTGGTGGCTTATAGGTAGAATGCTCGCCAACGCCAACCATGCATGTGGTTCGGGGGTTCAATTCTCGGCCGACGCACTCCTCTACCTCGCTATGTCAGTAATAAGACTGACAAAGAGGGAAGGTTGGACATGAGGCTAGCAACCCCATCTCGTAAAAAAAGCTCTAGCTTGAATCCCTATGTTCCACTGGGAACATAAAGGAATGAAAAAAGAAAGGTGTGTGTAGATGAAATCATCTTGTTTAGTGAATAAAATAATGCCCCACTACTCAGTAATATTTACTAAGATTGCCTATAATTTCTATGATTGTGAAGTGTTAGTGACAATGACACAGCACCGATAATTTATATATATCCGAACTGTGGATAGCTTTTTATGATTTCCTCATTGAATATTCTAGGTGTTAACTATTTTGAATTTACTTGTATGTATAGGCTGTTGATGAAAAAAGTCGGCTAAATAGTTGTAAATCCTACACACCACAACCTACCTGTCCCACTCAGTCATACGGTTCATCTAATACCTCCCTTACGACTCCTCAGCGTCCACTACTTACAATTGTTCGTGAAATAGATACTTCATCTGACGAAGAAATGCCATTTATCGAGACTGAGATAAAAATCTCATATGAGAAAGTAAGTGTCTCAAGGTGCCTTTGAGAGTTTTTCAAATCCGTATAGTCAAACAAATTGCTTGGTTTTAATATCGCGGTGGAGCAGTGATAATTGAGTGTTAAAACCTGTTGTTTTCACGTTTTTATTCACATTTGGTTGTGCATTTGTATTGGAGATTAACCAATAATAACCAAACTAAGATTGTATCCTCTCTGGAAAATGTGCTTATCTCTTTTTGGGTGACATTTTATATTGGCTTAGATTTTCTTACTGATAATATTCGACACTGTAGGATTGCTATTTTGGTGTTATTCAGAGTGTTCTGCTTTTTCAGTGTGCACACCTAACTCCTAATTTTCGTAGAATATATTATAACTTACCAAATTGTGTTGTTGTTGTTGTTGCAATAAAACTGTAACAAACTTCTCTGAAGGTTGTTTTATTGGTTTTCTTCTTCTTAGACCGTTTCGGCTGGGGACACTGGCGGCACTCCTCACTCACCAACATTTCGTCGTCCACCTATTTCAAGTAACTGTTCAGTGTCTTCGGATTATGATGTTGCACCAGTTGTCATTGAATACTCTGGTGACAATAAAGCTATTTCTAAACCTCATACATCACGTACTTCAGATTATGCTAGTCCAGAAGAGCTTACTAGCAAAGAAATACTTTCCAATTTGAATCAAAATGATATCAATTCACGCAACACCGATTATGTTAATATGGATGTACATCGATCAAATTCAGGTCCTGTAGTATTGTCTACAGAGAAAGAAAGTAAAGAATTTCCTGCTCCAGAATCTCAACTCACTCCAGTTTCAGAAACTTCAACCCCTTGTAAGTTGTGTACTTATTATTATTATTATTTAAAGAATTTTACTGCCCAGTAAATTATAGGCAAAATAGGATAGTTTTTGTTTACTTTTCCCTATCTAATTGGTTATAGTTTTAGCAAGATGGAGAATGACTGACGAATCTGTTTTTCAACCTAGTCATACTTTAACAAACATTACTTGTAGACTAAACCAGCGATGCAGTATGCATACACCTGAATCCGTGAAAGACTATCGGTTCACCTTCGTTCACATCTGAAACCTGCTGGCTTTCCCAGCTCCATTTAGTCTTAGGACCATAAAAGCTACATTGGTTAAGCTGATCCGCTTGCAGTTAACACAAAGATGCTCACTGGCGACTGGCCCTATTCAGGTAGGTAGTTACCTGGGGTTCCAGTGGGAAGTCGTGACCAGTAGGGTTCAGCAGGTCGGGTGTGAGGACAAATACTCGCCGAAGACATTGGCTAGCGGTCGCGCTATATCGTGAATTGGCAGAAGTTAGAATTCATGGGCCATTGGATCGGGTCCCAGTGGCTTAATGGTATGCGAGCTCGCCTTGTAACCAGAAGGTCCTGGGTTCGAACCACGGTGGGTGTGTACTGATGAAAGTCCCAAACTAGGACGAAACAGCTGTCCAGTACTCCCAGGTTTTCCAATGGTTCTCTAACCAATGTCAGCTCATGATGAAATCCTGTAACGAAACAAAGAAATTTGTTTCCTTGTAAAATGTGACGGTGAGTAGTTAATAGAACTAACACTATGTCTGATTCGACTACACGAACTAGTGCCTTAGTTTTATTCCATAGTTTAAATTCCATTCCATTATCTTTAAGTACTTGTATGCAGTCAAACTGTTAGGTCCTCCTTACTTGGAATGAGAGATAGCTGACAGTTAGAGGATCGATATCTGCGTTCCAATACAGGCGCTGGGGTTAGGTGTTTGGAAACTGTTGTAGAAAGCAGTAGAAAATCTGAATTTACAAGCACAAAGCTTGTGTGTAACACATGGATTGTAAGCCTTTATGGAGTATTGTATTGTTAATTGATTTGAACACTATGTTACTTGGTCACAGAAACAGCTTTAGTAATGTTTATACTATTCAAACAGGTTTTATGCAATATAAAGAACTCTTAATAACAGATGGTATTTACGTATAAAGGATTAAAAGTAGTCCAAGTAGTGTCATAACTCTTTACACATGACATTTTAAAGTCAATAAAATCCGTAACAGTTAGTTTAAGCCATATAGGAAGGTGTAGACTTCTAGGTTGGTTGGGGTCCTCGGGATGGTAAGAACCAGTGGTTAGAGACAATTAGTGATATGGCTCAAAGTTGTTCTCAGTGGCGCAGATGCATTCACTCTTTGTGATTTATCATATCCAATAAAACTCTACTGTTCCTCCATATTACTATTCTTTTTCCTTCATACTTCTGTTTATTACCTCTTCTGAATCTCTCTTTACTCTCTTCTCTTGCTTTGTGTGCTACATAGAGGGAGAGTGGCAACTCGAACTACTGCTGCACATCTGTGCAAAGTTCTACGTTGAAACCAGTCAGTCAGTCACACATGCAAATATCTCATTGTCGTATACGTAAATTTCTTCGGTGTCTCTGAGTTAAATTGTGATTGACTAACCCACTAATTTTTGGATTTTATGGTACAATGAAATATGCAGTCAGTAATTGAGTCTATTGAAGAAGTAAATCTGTCTTCACCTCACATTCATCACTGACTTTAACGTTTACTTCAATTTGAAGTTTACCTCTTTTTGTGTGCACCTGTGTCATAACAGCATATCATCTGTTTTGTCATAATATGACTTCGTCGTTGTCAGTTACTTTATTTAAACTTGAGGTTTCAACCCTCATTGTTATCATCACATTTAAAAATATATATATATTGCATTCTTCTCCCCTCCCCCCCCATAGTGCCACCTGACAAACCCACAACAGTGCTAAGTATGATCGATTTTCGTACTGTCGCTGTACTTGGACGTGGTCATTTTGGTAAAGTTTTACTGGCTCAATATCGTGAGAATAATCAATACTATGCAATAAAAGCGTTGAAAAAAGCAGAAATCATATTTCGCAATGAAGTTGATACATTATTGGCAGAAAAGCGTATCTTTCAAATCATTACTGATGCTCAGCATCCATTTCTCATAAATTTAATTGCTTGTTTTCAGACAAAGGTAAATCTTTATATATGTATAAATTTATTTATATTTAAAGAAAAAATAGTAAATCTGATGATCACACCTTTTTTTTAAATTTTTTACTAATTGTTTTGTTTTCTCAACTCGATTTATATATATTATCACTCATGTATATATCCAGGGATTGCTAATTAGCACCATAAGTAGATTTTTTTCCCGCCATAGAGTATAAGTTCGTGTTTCCCAGGTTAAATTGTGATACTTTGAAATCTAGTCACCACATTATTTCATCACATAATTTCTACTTAACTCGGTTATTCATGCTTTCACGTCCATGTACGATGACCATCGGCGATGTGTTATTATTATTATTGTTGTTCCCTTGGGTTCCTAGTGGAACATAGGGCTTCAACTGCACGTCTCCACTTGCTTCTGTCTTCTGCTGTACTTTTCACCTGCATCCATGTTAGTCCATACTGTTTCAGCTCCTCTTCACACGATCTCTTCCATGTCACCCTTGGACGTCCCACTCGCCGCTTCCCTTTCGGGTTCCACTCGAGCGATGGCCTGACGCGCGATGTCACCCAGCGGCCTCCTCAGCGAGTGTCCAATCCATCTCCACTTTCTCCTGCATATTTGTTGGGTAATTGGTTCTTGTTTCGTTTGTTCCCATAGTTTCTTGTTGGTTCTTGTTCTTTCCGGCCATCTGATCTTCAGTATAGAGCGAAGACAGTTGTTGATAAAGGTCTGCAACAGGCTGTTGGAAATATTCTTTGTGACCCGCCGCCAAGTTTCTGATCCGTATAGAAGAACTGACTGACTTGACGTTTGTATTGAAAATCCGAATTTTGTCGTTGATGCTGAGTGACGAAGATTTCCAGATTGGTTTCAGGTTGATGAATGTGTTTCTCGCCTTCCCGATTCTCGATTTGACATCCTCGTCCGTTCCTCCTGTAGTTGAGACAATGCTCCCTAGATAAGTGAATGAAGTAACCTCTTTCAAATCCCTCCCGTTGATGGTGATTGGCGCTGGATGTTGCTGCTGTTGTTGTTGTTGGTTGGTTATTTTCATAACCTCCGTCTTGTCTATGTTCACTTGGAGTCCTGTCTTTGCTGCTTCTTCGACCAGTTTGTCGGTTTTCGCTTGTAAGTCTTCGATTTTGTGTGACATCAAACATAAATCATCCGCGAAATCCAGGTCTTCTAGGTTCTTCACGTCGGTCCAGGATATCCCTGTCTTCTCGTTTCCCACTGTCTGACGCATAATCCAGTCCACCACAATTAGGAATATCATTGGTGATAATAAGCACCCTTGTCTGACTCCTGTGTTTACTCCAAACGCCTGGCTGAGTTTTCCGTTGTGGATCACTTGACATGTGCCGTTGTCGTACAGCTGTTGAATAAGGTTGATGAATACTTGGGGTAATCGGCGATACCTACTTAATTCCTGTTTTATCTGATGACTGCTTGTACTAGTCGATCTAGTTACATTACGTTAATTTTTCACATCTGGAGGCGATAGTTTCTTCCACACATTAATAACTTTATGACTCCAGAGTTGATTTTTGGCTGGGATTCAATTGAATTATATATATAATGTTACAGAAATCGAACATGTGTATAGCCTTTTGCAGGTTCCACCTATCATCTTTGATTTGAAAGCTTTGGGTTCAATCTGAAAGTAGCTCTGTTGTGCAGATGTAGGCAATTTTTACACAGGATTACGATCTTGTCAAATGACCAAATATTGATTACTTATTTTGTTTTCAATTAGATCTCATCAGGCTTAACTCTAGTATACATAACTTTACAAATAAATATTCAAATATAAACCAATCATGGTGTTTTGTTTATAGGATAATAAGACTGTGCAATTAGTCGTAATAATCGTAATGATAATAATAATCGTGGTTCTATCAATAATAAGGATGAAAAAGCGAGGTAATCTGTGATAACAAGAATAACGAAAAGAAGTTCTTACAGCCATTATCCCTCCCTTGGCCTATTAAGATATAACCAACTGATGACTTCTCCACCACCCCTTACTTATATTTTCAACCCCTCTCTTATCCTCCCTTAATCTTATCACATCTTCATTAGAACGTATTTCATTTACTTCCCTTACAATGTATCATTGCGTAATCGGTTCATTTTGTTTTTCTTAGCCTTTATCGACTACTTCTACCTGAACATTTGTTTGTTTAATCATGCTGTTATTTTTGCTCTTGTTACCACAGATCGCCTCACTTTTTCATCCTTGTTATTGATAGAACCATTATTATTATTATTATTCAAGTGTGAAATATTCCCACATCATGAATTAAAAGTCAATCTGAACGAAGAGTATTCTTTTCATTAATTTCTCCTCTTCAGGTTCCTACAATGATAAAATATAATACATTTTGTACGCAGAATAACAGATTAGTTATGGGGTGTCAAAATAAATAGTCGTATTTGTGTGATAAATGTGCTAGGCTGAAATGGACTACAAAACATTGTGAAATGGGAGATAATGGTGGGGATTAATCATAATAGATTTGTAGAGTGTGGGGTAGGAAAATTGGCAAGTCAGTTCAAGGTTATAAAAGGTGTCAGGTGAGTGGCTAGTGCAAAGTTGTATGTATTAAAGAGGAGATAGTAAGACTGCAATGAAATAACCAATGTGTGAAATGAAACAGGTGGAGACATATATTGAGAAAAGAGATAATATCACTAATTATAAGTCCGGATAGTATAAATGGAAAATTCGATAGTATTAAGAGAATGTTTGGATGAAAGGTATAAATGATGACGAACAATAATAATAATAATGTAATAATAAGCAAAGAAAAAAATAACCAAGAGGGTTAACAGGAAGGAGCACTATTGGTGAGAAGAAGAATCATTACTCCAAGCTTTGGCCACGGTAAGAACAGCGTCTGGACGTGTTCTTTTTGGATACAAAGTTCCGGTTTAGTCGATCTTATTGCAACAGCTTCAGCTATGTGTAGCTGACGTAAGCGAACTGTACGTGATAACGACTTCGGAATTCGGTATATATAACCCTGAAAGCTGTGTTGATGTCGATGCTATGTGCAATATCGACCAAGTGTGATAGCATCGAGCTTTTTATGCACTTAATTTCCCCCCTGATGAACCAAGGTGTAACGACAACAAATATTATATTTTATAATTGTAAAAACTATTAAAAAGACGGTTGCAGTGAAGAAAATTTTCTTTTCGACGAATTCATCAACTAGACTGTACATTCGTGTATTTATAACAAATGGATGGGAAAGTTCCAGAATAATTTCCGGTTAACGGTCAAATTAATAAAATTACAATTAGGAATAAAAAAGGCCAGTTGTTCTTTCCTCGAGGATTCGGAAGATATGCAGCGAGGAAGTTATTGACTAAGAACTGCGTAGTCTTCGAAAAACCCTGATGGAAAATGGTTTTACACCAGGTTCATGGACAAGAATCTCAAATCAAAGAAGACTTCCGAACAAGTCCTATCCGTTCCAAAGAAAATACTTCTGCTTTATCTAGAATTCAAAGGTGACATTGAGGCAGAAATCTTTCGTAAATGCCTCTCCAAATTTCTGAGGAAAATATTCTTCGCCGCAAGCCGACGACTGATATTTTCCTGCAAGAAACTGTTCAGCCAGAAAGCGAAAGACAAGCTGTCGCATTGGGCCACTTCAACGTGCATATACCAGTTTACTTGCGCTTGCGGAGCTGAGTACATCGATCGTACCATGCGCCAACTTGAAAAAGACTCTCGTGAACACTATACAGCTTGGCTAGTAAAAGGAGATCGAAAACATGTACATAGTTCAGTGACAGAACATCTAGTCAATTCAACATATTCAGCGCCATTCAAAAAATCCTTCAAAACATTATACAAGATTTGATCAAAGGGAGTGAAATTAAGACATCTAGGCATAGCCGAGGCACTAGCTATCCACAAGCTCAAACCCACGCTTTGTATCCAAAAGAAATACCTCCAACCCTTGCTGGTAATTCTTTTAATAATGACCATCCCACTGCCTTTCTTATCCAAACTTCCTGTTTATTCATGTTATTTTTAAGTTTTTCTTAATCCCTATGTATACTACCATATTTTCATATCCTAACTTCCTGTTTATTTTGTCATTTCATTATTTCTACATATTTAATCCCTAACTGCATAAACAATTATTCGTCGCATTAGTTATGATCCCACTAGATTTTTTATCCAAACATCCTGTCTGTTTTTGTTATTTCTACATTTCTAACCCCCAATTACACAATATCTCAATCTCTTCAGTAATTATGATGCTACTTTGTTTAAGTTTTATCCGTCCCGCTGTTTATTATGGCATTTTAATTCCTAATTGTAATTTTATGAATTTGACCCTTAACCGGAAATTATTCTGGAACTTTCCCATCCATCTGTTATAAATACACGAATGTACAGCCTAGTTGATGACTTTGTCGAAAAGAAAATTTTCTTCGCTGCAACCGTCTTTTTTAATAATTCCTATGATCCAATGTGTATATTCCGTGAGTTGTAAGAACCTGAAGAGAAATTATTGAAAAGAATTTTCTTCGTTCAGATTGACTTTTAATTAATATTATTATTATTATTATTATTATTATTATTATTATTATTATTATTATGACTAATTACACAATTTATATTCACCATCTTATTATCCTATAGACAAAACACCATGATTGGTTTATATTTGAATGTTTATTTGTAAAGTTATGTATACTAGAGTTAAGCCTGATGAGACCTAATTGAAAACAATACTGTTCGCTTAAATGTGTTGTTCTACTTATTTTGTGTTTATTGATACAGTTATTACTATTCTGAGTGAATCCATTAAGATAAAATAAGCGATCAAGAGACATAAAATAGGTGTAATAAAAGAAATAATATCCAATTTGATGTTGTTGGTGGCTTATTTTCAAAACTTTAAGTATAAGACTCATTAAATCTAAGCTCTGTCAGACGATTTCGATTTGGGAAAGTGACTTAAGAAAATGGTACAATCTGTTAGTCCAACTGGTGTATACCATAATGTAGACTCAACTCTTATGAAAGCCATTGATCTGACATGAGCTGAAATTCTTCATTATATTATTCGTACCTTAGTCACTACAAGCTACCGATATTTGTCGATATAAGGTGCTATGACCATCTATCAGATTCACAATTTGCAAATTAATTTTCAGTTTACGCAGTTCGAGGTGGGATTTCACCACAGTTTACTTTGGAAACGTAAATTATTCAGATCACAATACGCCATCTGCTTGATACAATAAATAAATAGTAATCAATAAAGCAAGTACACTTGCATAAATCTATATACTACTGATTAAGTGAGACAAGTAGTTGCCTACCACTCACATCAACCGGTGTGTTTAGATCACTTCGACCTGTTTAGCAAGCACTACTGTTTCAACCACAGACGGAACAGATAAAGATGTCAAAGCCCCAGTCAGAATCGGAATGGGCAAAGTCAATCTAAAATCAGTATGGAAATCTTCTGCACTCCGTGGCATAAACAACAAGATTCGGATTTTCAACCCCAATGTCAAGTCAGTTCTTCATTATGGGTCAGAAACTTGCACTGTGCGTCACGAGAAGCATTTCCAACAGGTCGGTGCAGACTTTTATCAAGAGCTGCCGTCGCTGACTTCATATTGAAGATCAAATGGCCGGCTGGACATAAAGAATTAGCGTTAAGAAACTATGGGAAAAAACCAACCAAGAACCTAACGTTCAACAAATATGTAGGGGAAAATGGAGATGGATCGGGCATACGCTGAGGAGACCGCCGAATGACATCGCGCGCAATGCAGGCCATCGCTCGAGTGGAATCTAAATAGGAAGCGACAGGTGGACCATCTGAGGGTGTCATGGAAGAAGAGATTAGAGATTATGGCCAATTGTGGACCCAGCTGAATAGGATGGCACTATATTCCACTCGGAACCCAAGGGAATAATAATAATACAATAATAAGTTAAGTTTTCAGTCAATTTCCAACAGGTTTTTGGCACTTTGTTTGCCTTTTGTTTTGGCTGTTGGTCTTACCAAAAACCATCTTATAGTTACTGGCCTTTAACTGATTTTTATCCATTATCGTACAAATTGTGTTATTCCACTTTTTTTCTTGATTACAGGAACATGTTATGTTTGTCATGGAGTATGCTCAGGGTGGTGATCTTATGCTCCATATTCAGCAAGATGTGTTTAAGGAACCACGTGCTGTATTTTATGCTGGATGTGTCGTCTTAGGCATTGAGTTTCTTCATTCAAAGAAGATTGTATATCGGTAAGTGTTGACTTACTGGAGGTCATGTTTTCTTGTTTGTTATATTCTGGTTTATCATGCATTATTGTTAGTATATTACTACAATAAATTTTTTTATACTGTATTCAGTCTAACTGATTGACTGGTTTCAATGTCTGTCTGTCTGTCTGTTTGTTTGGATTCAACACAGAACTTGGCACTGAAGTGCAGCCGTTCGAGTTGCTACATTCCAAATAGCACACAAAGGTAGACAAGAAGATGAGTGAAGAGAATCAATAGAGTTTTGACAAGTATAAGAGTGAAACAGAATGAGTAATGGTAGAAAGGAATATGAAAGATTACAGAGACAACGATTTTGAGCCATGTCACCTATTGTCTCCAGCCATTGATTCTTAGAGTCCCGAGGGCCCCAACCCGGAAGTCTGCGTCTCCCTATCTGACTCAGTTTAGCTGTCAGGGATTGGTTTCAATGTAGAACTTTGCACCGATGTTCAGCAGTTCGAGTTGCCACACTCTGTCCATGTGGCACACAAAGCAGGAGAACAGAATAAAGAGAAATTCAGAAGAGGGTTAATAAACAAAAGTGTGAGGGAAAAAGAATAGTAATATGGAAGAACAATAGAGTTTTATTGGACATTATAAATCGCAATCTCTCATGTTATTTCCTCCTGACCACCACTTAGTCTACGCATGATTACTGAGCCTAGAACTTTAGACATCCTATCGCTCAAGCTAATCCCCCTGTGATTATCACAGGAAGAATTGTCTCCCTTCTTGTTTATCGGGATAATCAATGACTTACACCAGCTCAACGTGATTATCTCTGATTCCCAGACGCTGTCTAATATCTTAGTTAACGCAGACAGTAAACTGTCTCCACCGCCCTTTAGTATCTCTGGAGTCATTCCATCAGGTCCCGCTGCTTTGCCTCGTTTCAGACTAGTGAAAGTTTTTGTAACCTCAGTTAGGGACGAGGGACCTGTGTTTATATCCTATCCAGGGATAAGTTTACCGTGACTGTAGGTCAATCAAGTTGCTCCTCAAAATGTTGTTTCCAACGTTCCATTCGTCTGTCGTTCAGTCGTTGAGTATTCAGTCACTTTATGACTAAAATGATCATATTGAAATTTATTGTATCAGTTCATTAAAAGATGATTTTCATTTAATAAGCTCAAACAATAATTATATTTGGTTGGAGGACTTCATCATCAGCTGACATCGGTTAGAAAACCATTGGAAAACCTGGGAGTGACCAGTAGCATATAGCAGGTTGGGTGTGAAGACAAATACTTACCGAAGACATTGGCTAGTGGCGGCACTACGTTGGGAATTGGCACAAGTTAGAATTCGTGGGCTATGGAATCAAATCCCAATGGCTGAATGGTCGCTTGCCTTGTAACCAGAAGGTACTAAGTTCGAACCCTGGCAGTGGGTGCGTACTGATGGAGGGTTGTAGACTAGGATGAAACATCTGTCCAGTACTCCCAGGTTTTCCAATAGTCCTCTGACTGATGTCAGCTCATGAAATCCTCCAACCAATCAAAGAAAATCCCCACAAACCAATACTTGGAAATAATTATATTTCTCTTTGTTTCACTTAGTTCATTTTTATTAAATTTACCCACTTGTTTAATTAGAAAATTTAACCAATTCTAATAATCTTTTTCTGTGTTTATTTTGGCATAATACGCGGTAATAGCTAATGCTTGTTGTATAAGCAAACTGCTAAATATGCTTGACATTTGTTTTATTTGTTTATTTTAAACACAAACACATTTGCAGCAAAACTAGTTAGTGCAAAAAGTCATCACAGCCTTTTAACTGAGAATTTCCAACTAAATCACTAAAATTTCCTTTCGTCAGTTAGCATTTTAACTTGTAAGACTTACATTGTTGTTTTTGATTATGCTATTTGTGCGTCACTCGAAGCATATACTATCATTTTTGGATCGTGAATCTGTATTGTTTGTTTTGATTTACCTACACTTACAATATGCCTTATGAATATATCTATGTATATATATGTATATGACAATTTTCAGGGATTTAAAGCTGGATAATTTACTTTTGGACTCCGAGGGATTTGTAAAGATGGCTGATTTCGGTTTGTGTAAAGAAGGTATGGGCCCAGACGATCGAACGTCTACATTTTGTGGGACACCTGAATTCTTGGCTCCTGAAGTTCTCACAGATTCTTCATATACCCGTGCTGTCGACTGGTGGGGTTTGGGTGTACTTATTTTTGAAATGCTTGTTGGTGAGGTAAGAATGATGTAAAGTTTTCTTTTCATAATTGGGTAGATTTCTTATATTACTATACTTCAGGCTAAAGAAATGAAATCAATAATATTAGAGCTTTTCTTTGGAAAAGTTGTTGCATTGCTATTTCCTCATGATTTATAGGTTTAGGAATCCTCCTACTCATTGTCAGTCAAAAGCTTACAAGATTAACGAGTTCACGATTGGTAGTGGTAACGAAAAAACCAAGAGTGTATTCCTCAACAGATATGCCGAAGAAAGTGAGGTTGGATCGGATATACACTGAGGAGATCATTATGTGACATCGTGAACTAGGCCGGCGAGTGGAACCCGAATGGGAAACGGCAACTTGGACTTAGGCCTATGAGTGATGTAGAGGAAATTGTGTTAGGAGAAGATGAAAGCTTATGAGCAATCTTAGATCCAGCTGAACAGAACTGCAAAGAACAAGGTGAAACGGAGATATGCATTCAGCACTTAGCTGTTTTTTTCTAGTGACCTACAATGTTCACAGTCCATGGTCTTTCTCATGGCAGTGAAAGTTGGAGAAAATCATTGCGATTTATTAGATCTATTTTAGTTTAGTAATTATCTCTTGTGACTAAAACATTTCGGTTAGTGTGATATTTTGGGCTAATACTTCCCGTTAAATGAAAAGCTTTACGTGCGATGTTTAAATCAGTGGCACCCCGATGGTTGAGTATTTTTTTTGTCAGGAAGTCAAATATTTTAAGGTGTGGTTTTAATCCTTAATGCTTCTTCGTATCGTTTCATAGATCTCTGTTTTCTGGGTTACGATAATTGTATCATTTTATTGATTATCTTGCGAAAGTCACATTAAAATTATACTAAAGTCGTTTAACCGTCATTTCTCCGTTTTTAGTGTCCTTTCCCGGGTGAAAGTGAAGAAGAAATCTTCGACAGTATAGTCAATCAAGAAGTCCGCTATCCCCGTCATTTAAGCATGGAAGCTACTATAATAATGCGACGTCTGCTACGACGAAATGCTGCACAACGACTAGGATCTTCTGCTCAAGATGCTGAAGAGATTAAAAGGCAACCGTTCTTCCGTAAACTTGACTTTGCAGCGCTTTTAGCTCGTAAAATAAAACCACCATTCGTTCCTGTTGTTGTAAGTTTTACCATTTTGCTAATCATCATTAAAGCTGAATTTTATGCTTTCATGACAATAATAATAAGACTGACACAGATTATTGCAATGGCAACTTGCGTTGGTTTATGCTCTCTGCATATTCTACTGCCTACTGTTTTAAAAGGGGTAGAAGAAAAATACACTAAACATATTTTACTGTTTGCTAAAATTTAAGTGTTATATACAGTAATTTGAATGAATTGCTCCAACTGGTAAAATATAATAACTGACTCCATATTAATTTTCAAGTTTTGGTTTTGTAGGGATTTTGTTTGATTGCATGGAGGATTTCATCATTAGCTGGCATCAATTAGAGAACCACTGGAAAACCAGCTGGGAGTACTGGACAGCTGTTTCGTTAGACTAGTTTGGGACTCTTCAGCAGTACGCACTCACCGCCAGGGTTCGAACCCAGGACCTTCTGGTTACAAGGCAAGTGAGCTCATAGACCACTGAGTCACTAGGACCCGATCCAATGGTCCTGAAATTCCAACTTCTGCCCATTCACGACGTAGAGCGACCATTTCGCAATATCTTCTTCGATGTCGGCTAATGATGAAATCCTCCATGCAATCAAACAAAATCCCTACAAAACCAATACTTGAAAATTAATCTTATGCTCACTAGTGACTGGCCCTATTCAGGGAGTGACCTGGGGTTTCTAGTGGGAAGCCGTGACCAGTAGGGTACAGCAGGTTGAAGATGAGGCAGTAACTCATCGAAGAAGACATTGCGAAATGGTCGTGCTATGCGGTGAAGTGGCAGAAGTTAGAATTCAAGGACCACTGGATTGGGTCCCAGTGGCTCAATGGTCTACTAGCTTGCCTTGTAACCAGAGATCCTGGGTTCGAAGCACGGTGGGTGCGAACTGATGAAGAGCCCCAAACTAGGACGAAACAGTTGTCCAGTACTCCCAGGTTTTCCAGTGGTTCTCTAAGTGATGTCAGCTAATGATGAAATGACTCCATATTAATTTGATATTATTAGATATATCACACAGTGAAACAGTATTATTATTTACTGGATGACAAGGTTTCGAACACAATTTATTGTTCATAATCAATCAGTTATAATCACACAACTTCGAAACTTCCTTTTTTATGGCTTTCTTTATTCCTTCCTATTTATCGTAAGGGTAGTAAAATTAATAGAGATTTTTTCTTGACAACATCCACAGTGCAGATTTTAGTATGAAATGAACTCATTTGAATTCTTCATGTATAGATGAATTGTGTCTCCTGGCTACCTTCTTTGTGACTGGTAGTTGATTTACATTTCTATTGATCATTTTTATTGACTTGGAATTTGAACTTTCTTGTCACCTGATTTACTTTTTATTAGCTGGTAAATTCTGTCTACGTTAATATGTTTGTTAGTCACTGATTCACTTAAGTACCAGATTTCGAGAAATTCTCTGGCACTTTTGGTGTTTTCTTTATTTAAAATTTCGACATTATCCCAATCAAATTGGTTTCCATAGTTATCTACATGCACTGATATGAAAGAATATATATATATATATATATATCATGCCTTTTTACAGCTAGTTTGTGTTCTTGGATTCTGATTCGAAAGGGACGCCCACTTTGACCTATGTAGTATCTGTTGCAGTTCATAAAATTTATTTTCTAAATGGTATTAATTTTATCTTCTTTGTCTGTTGGGTTTTTGGTTCGCACAATATCGAATGAAGTGATTGGGTTGGCTTGTGTGCTATATCTATTTCAAACGGTTTCATTATTCTAGCTGTTATTTCAGCGATGTGGTAGAATGAATTTTCCTGTAGTCTTTGATGATAGTTTCTTGTTGGTGCTGTGACTCGAGTTTAAATACTTTTTGATGAAATTGTGAGGGGGATATCCATTCTTCTTGAAGACGGTTAGTAGGTATTTTTCCTCCATTCTTTTCAACACTGGAGTGCAACAGTGTATTTGAACTCTTTTAAACAATGTCTGCACAGAGTTTCTTTTGTGGGTAATTGGATTATTACTAGTATAGTTGAGTATTTGATCTGTGTGCGTTAATTTTCCATATACTTGTGTTTCTAAATTTTCTGGGTTAGTTCTTCTGATTAAGTCATCTAAAAGTGGGATTTTGTTATCTAATTCTTCTCTTGTGAATTTGATATCTTGAAATATTTTGTGGGTGTATTCCAAATCATTTCTAAGTATTACAAATGTGTCATCAACGTAACGTACCCAAAGTTTTGGTTTAATTATAGGTAGAGCTATTAATTATAATCTTTGCATAACACCTTCAGCTATGAATCCTGATATAGGCGATCCCATTGGTGTTCCTTTTATCTGTTCGTATATTCGAGTATTGAATTGGAAGTATGTTGTAAGATATAATTCTATGAGTTCTATCCAAGTTGAACATTGCGTTTTTTTTCATCGCTACACAGTAATCGCTGCATAGTTTCTTTTGCTAGTTTTGAACCAATTGAAGTATATAATGCTGTGACATCAAAGGACACCATTATTTCATTGTCATCTACTTGGATGTTTTGATTTTCTCTAAAAATTGGTTTGGCGAATAGATAGAATGGTTGCATGACTGTGTTAGGTATTTTAATTTTCTGAAAAGTTCTTTAGATAGATTATACGTTGGTGTTCCTGGAAGCGAAACGATTAGTCGCAAGGAAATTTTTGGTTTGTGTAGTTTCGTTCTACCGTAAAATCAATGTAAAACATGTTCATTAGATTTCATTCGCCACTGATCTTGTTCTGTAATTTGTCGTGATTTCATTAGTTTATTTAATATTATTTTCTTTTTTTTATCTAATGTTCGTATAGGGTTTTTCTTCAACTGTTGATTATACATTACTATCTTTTTTTATGCAGTCTTCTGTGTTTGTGATTACTGTTGTCCTTCCTTTGTCAGCCGGTAGTGTAGCTATGTCTTTTCTATTCTTCAGTTTCTTCAATGCATTTCACTCTTGAGTGTTAAGTTGGGAACTACGTCTTTTCTGTTTGATAATAGGTATGATACATTGATGTATTTCTTGTTGTACTTCCTCACTTAATTTTGATGATTTGAGTGATGATTCTAAGGAAGCACAGAAATCTGTTATTGAAGTGTCACCAGTATTGTAGTTCAGTCCTTTCTAACCAAGCTGTTTTTCTGCTTTTGATAATGGTTGTTTCGATAGATTTACTACGCAATCAACTAGAGTTTCTCCAGATGGCTGTTTGGATATCTTAGCTAATTTTCCTCTGAGGACAACTAGCCTTCGTTCTTTGTGTCGTTCACTTAATATTTTAATGGCAGTGTTCAGTGTTGATAGGTGTTCTAGGTTGAGAGTCCGTTCAACCTTTTCTTTTTGAAATTTAACCATATGCTGGTATTTTTTAATCCTATTGTGTGCATCCATGATTATTAATTTCACCATTTTTTTCCGTGTTGTTTTGGCTAATTTCTACTCCAGAGGGCAGTTAATTGGTGGTTTATATTTGACACTGGTCGGTAGAATCTGTTGACAGAGACATTCATGAAGAAAAAGTAGTTGTCCTTCTGTAGAAACTTGTCTTTTGGCCTAGTCCTCTCATTTTCGACAACACAGAAGCGTATCACGCTCGTAAGATGTTGAAATAATCGGGAAGATTTGTAGCTCAGGTGGATGATTTTGAATTAGTTGTGTTCTCTGAGCTGGTTGATTTAACTGCGAAGCTTTCGTCGTCCTTCTGAACAACATCTTCAGTGCAGGTTTTAGCACGAAATGAATTCATTTGAATTTTTCAGAATTTTCCAGATATCTAGGACAGGTGTTGAATCATTCCTATCACACGTGTTTGCAGTTGATTCGATAAATAAAGCTTCCGTTGTCAATCTCCCCCTCTACCCTGTTGCAGTAGATTTTAAAAGCATCATATCCCATCCTATTGTATATGGTTGTGTGTCATTGCATGCAGTGCTATGGGTGAACTTTTCTCCAGATTTCTTATCTTATTAGGGTCAAGTAATCTATATTTTGCAAGGTTTTTGTGCTCCGTTAGTTTGATTGACTCCGTTCTACTACTTTGACCGATGCATTTAACCTGACAGTCATTGCAGGATATTAGATAAACTAAATTGTTTTGTTTTATTGACTTCACAGGATCCTTTAACCGACAAAGCTTTTTTCTGCTTATTGAGTTTGTGGGTTTGAATGCGAGCCACTTTTATTCCTGCATTGTTAAGAATTTTCCGTAAGGTTTCCGATGATTTATATTCCCTGTTGTTGGTGTTGTCATTATTCTGTGCATGTTTGACATGCATGTCATCATTAATATTATTATTATCACTATCACTACTATTATTTATTTTATTTTTACACTTTCCTACATACTTTCTGACTAATTTATCAGGGTAATTATTAAGTTTCAGAGTTTCTTTTATATACCTCACTTTCTGTCTTAGATTATCCTTGGTACTACTTAGTTTTTGTGCTCTGTTACTCAAACATTTCACCAATCCTATTTCACTGACATCGGATGAGATGATCTGAAGTCCAAATATCTGTTTGAATGTGTGGGTTTCCTGTAAACACCAGTGTTTAACTTCCCATCTTCTTTCCTTTTTACGCTACAATCTAACATTGGAAGCTCCCTTTCCTGACTTTCCAATTCATAAGTGAATTGAATTGCCTCCACCTTTAAAATAATGTGCTCGAAAAATCTATGTATATCCTGTGTTCTAAGTACAGTGAACGTGTCGTCTATATTTTGAAGTGGGGCTGAACGTTTCAATTGCTAAGTTTTCCCACTGATCCATGAATATATCCGCCACAACAGGGGATATTGGTGGGCTCATGGCAGCTCCTTCAGTTTGTTTGTATATTTTCCCTTGGAATTTAAATACTGTAGAAGTCAGGCATAGCTACACTTCCAGCATTCTGTTGTATTTTTCAACAATTTTATTAAACCTGTAAAACAGTGCTTATTATGGATCCTTGTTCATCAGTTGAATATACCGATTTACATATACATAGTTGAGAGTGAATAACGACTTTTCCCCTTCTTTTGTTTTAATTTCTAGTCTAATCCTGAAGATGTATCCAACTTCGATGAAGAATTCACCAAGGAACGAGCCGTTCTTACACCAGCCAAAGAACGTCCACCACTTCTTGAAGCAGATCAATTCAATTTCCAGAATTTCGATTATAATTCACCTTCTATATTATAAAAATTATATATGTCCGGTAAAAGTGTTGGATAATGTTTCTCTCACCCCCTTCCTCTCTCTCCCTCAAACTTTAGCACACTATGAATACTTTTCACCCAATTTCCTTATACTACTGTCTTGTCTTATCCTTTTGTGTTTATGTCTTTTCAAAGATCTCTTTTCACTCTGATTCTCTATTTCGCCTTTTTTTATGTGTCTTCCAACAATCCATATAAACAGTGTATTTAAATGTGTTGTATTTTAAGGAAGACACAATTTTTAACAGGTTTAATTCCATTATAAATAAATAAATAATATATTTATATATATATACATACATAATATTTGAAGCATGTTTTTATTTGGTTTTTATTGTTGCAGTAGTAGTACACAAACAACTAAATTTTGATCAAATTGAATTGCATACTTGATGATATATATAAATAATATGTATGTTTAATCATTCCTGTATTTCCTCCTGACTGGCTGGCTGGCTGACAACTATCACTCACATTTATTCTTTTTCCCTATGAAACGTTGTTAATGATATCCAAATTTTACCAAAGTCATTCACACTAATTTTTCCTTGTTTTAATTAAGATTTACAATTGTTTTACATTCTTGAAGTTATTTTATGTTCCTATCTATGTATGTATGTATGTACATACGGAATGGCTTTTTTATTATAATTATCATTATTATTTTATTATTGTTTTCGTCCTAACAAATAAAAATAACATTTTAACCAACAACTTTAATCGTAATATCTTCTCTTATTTTTTGCTGTGCATATTATATTTTAATTATTCCTCTCTCTCGATTTTCTCTTGTTTAGGCGATAAGTAGGCTGGCAACAGGAATTTTTTCCCTCTTTCTTTCTTTCCATCTTTTTTGCTCCTGTTTGGTTGACAATTTCTGACTTGACTATGCCTTTTTATACCCCATTATCTATCGGATAGAAGTTTCTCTCTCTCTCCCTCTTTCCTCTTCGTTTTCATTGTCCAGTCATCACAGAGTAAATTCATACAACAAGATATAAATACACACGAACACACACGCATATATACATACATACATGCACACACACATAATGTTTGTAAAGAAATTAAAATCTCTAAAAAAAAATAATATTAATAATAATAATAAATATATTTATGCTTCAATGTTGTTGTTGTTGTTATTGTTTTCTTCACGTCATGAAAAGCGAACGGATAACCTATTCCCTTATTTGTGTGGTACAGATATTATTATTATTATTGTTGTTTCCTTTAATTCCTAGACGGCTTCACCCGTGCTTCTCCATTGAGTTCGGTTCTCTGCTAGAGTATTCACCTGGCTCCAAGTCTGCCCACACGTTTTCATCTCATCTTCACATGACCTCCTCCAAGTCACCCTTTCACTAACGACCAACTCGTCGCTTCCCTTTCGGGTTCCACTCGAGCAATGGCTTGTCTAGTGATGTCACTTGCTGGTTTCCTCAGAGTGTGGCCAATCCACCTCCATTTCTTCCTGCCTATTTGTTTCACAATCGGTTCCTGCTGTGTTGGTTTGCTCATTGCCAGAGATCTCTGTTGCTGATCTTTTCTGGCCGGCCATCTGATCTTGAATGAAGTATTGAGCGAAGACAACTGTTAATGAAGGTCTGTAGTTTGTTTGAGATGCTCTTAATGACGCACAGTGCAAGTCTCTGATCCGTATAGTAGCACTGACTTCACATTGGAGTTGAAAATTCGGATCTTATTTTTGATGCTGAGTGCGAATACAGATATAGTATTTTTAAATTGAATGAAGCATACTAAATGAATTGCATAATTGCACGTTTAATTAAGACTTCAGTCATTGCCTTTTCTCTGTGGCATTGGGGAAAAAGAAAGTTGAGATTGTTGTTAGATTTACCTGTATTCCTCTTCTGCTTCTGCCTCTTCAGTGTATAAGTCAAGTCACAGCTTTAACTTGCTGTTGCTGACCACCACTTACTGAGAAATCTACCTGTGACTATGCTTGAATGTATCCATGATGTGGTGATTTTAGTCGTAAGACTTAGGACGAGTAGGTGATTTCTTTGTGAATTAGATTAGATTTTGTTTGTATTTATATGTATACATGAATCTATATCCTTGATTACAAGATGGGTTTCTTGTCAAAGATTAGCGTTGTGAAGAAGTCACATTAACGACGTGTTTGTGGTTTATATGAGGATTAGGTGATGGTTTATGTTTAATGTAACACAAACTCGAAGACTTACAGGCGAAAACCAGCAAACTGGCTGAAGAAGCAGCAAAGACAGGACTCCAAGTGAACACAGATAAGACGGAGGTGATAAAGGTAACCAGCCAACAGTGACAACAACCAGCATCAATCACCATTAACTACGGGCGGATGGCACGGATGAAGATGTGAAAGCCAGTCAGAATCCAGAAGGCAAGATACGGCTTCATCAACCTGAAACCAGTTTGGAAATCTTCTGCACTAACTCAAAATAAACAACAAGATTCGGATTTTCAACACCAGTGTCAAGTTAGTCAGTTCTTCTATATGGGTCAGAATCATGGCAAACACGTTGCGAAAACCATCTCCAACAGGCCACTGCGGACTCTTATCAGCAGCTGCCTTCGCTGACTCCATATTGAAGACCAAGTGGCCAGCCGGCCGGCCAGAAAGAATTAGCAAAAAGATACTATAGGAACCAACTAACCAAGAACGTCTCGTTCAACAAATCTGTAGGAGGCAGTGGAGATGGATCGTGCATACTCTGAGGAGACCGTCGAATGAAATCGCGCGCAAGCCATCTGTCGAGTGGAGTCCGGATGGTGAGCGATGAGTGGGTTGTCGGTGCGATGGTATCAGGGAGGAGATAATATGAGATTACGGACAATCGTGGACCTAGCTGAAGAGGATGGCAGAGAATTGAATAAAATGGAGATGTGTTGTTGAAGCCCTATGTTTAACTCGGAAACCAAGGGAATAATAATATAATTCCTATTAGCATCACTTAGATGTGATCAGCAGAAACTTTATTCATGTTTACATTGAAACCTGAATACTACTGTAACACTAGAAGATAAGAGACTTGGTAAAAGAATGTTCATTAAGAATTTGACATTTCTATGTAGCCAAACACCTTATCTTCAAATCATCATTTGCACAGATCTTCTGTGTTGTGAGACTTCTGCTCTTCGTATTGTCTTCATTTAGTGCCTTCCATGTTTTGCCGCAATGCTGAATCATTTGTTCTCTTTGACGTCAAATCTATCGCTCCGTTATTCGATATTTTTATGCTGATGAACGACTCTTTATATACTACTGATAAATCTTACCAGTAGCACACGCCATCCTTCCAAAGCATCCAAATCTCAACTAAGTGATTTTCAGTTTGAGCATTATAAAGTTGGCATAGATGGTAATGTGAGCGCATGAGGACGAATGTATTCTAGATTTATCATTGTCCCAATCTGTTATCTACTGCTCATATCCTTAATTCTTACTGATTCATCGACACACTTCTGTTTGTATGAGTTCTTTTTTTTTACACTTTTATTGTTGTTCATTCTACTGACTGTAGATGTCGTGGAGATGCCATGTGTGTGTGTGATATAACTCCACCCTTGACAGTTATTTAATTTGATCACTCTAATTTTCAACTGTATGTCTGCTGTGATTTTTGTGAATCAGTAACAGGCCATGTTCCCAAACACGATGACTATGTAATCTGGGTTGTGATATCTAATTCAATTTTGGTACATTTCGGCAGTAGTACGAAATAACTTATTGATGGTATGCTTGACCTTCAGTTTCTCAGCTGTCGTCCGCTTACGATGAAACTGAGTTCAATGTAATCCAGATAAACATGTAAATGGTCAAGCCTTGTTGTATTACTAACCATTTGGTGATAGAAATGAATTTCTAACGAGATCAGGTCAATGAATTCAGTGTAAACTCCTGTTAATCTTTAACTTATGAGAATTTATGCATCTTTTGTAGTAATATTCTAGAAAAGTGACACATGTTATCCCTTAGAAAGGAATGTCTGGTGTAACTAAGTTAATTCCAAGAACTATCATTCTGTACCCACTGGTATTTGTTTTATATCAGTTTACCAAATCATGGTGGTGAAGTACAGTAACATATTGGTGTCAGACAACAACAGCCTTATTACTCATATAGGTAATTTGTTGCATGAAATCCTCTCGATGTTGAAGTGAAGAGAATGTGGTATTAATTCACAGTTAGTAAGCAAATAATTTGATGATGCCATATTCCAAGTGATTCACAACGAAAAGCCCAGTGAAGCTTTCGAAGCGAATACAGGAGTAAGACAAGGCCTCCTATTATCACTGTTGATATTCCTGATTCTGGTGAACTGTAAATCATGCAACAGACCGTGGGGATCGAGAAGATGGCTATATATTAAACTGGGTTAGGCGTCGAGTGCTAGTTAAGGAGGGGAAATCAATCGACGAGGCTGTGAAGCTACATTGATTGAAATGGTTAGGACATGTGTTACGTATGCCCAGTGATCACCTTCCTCGACCGACGGGAAATGTTAGGTGACATAGGGTCAGGCTGGAAAAGAGCTAGCGGCGGTCAAACCAAAACATGGCTTCATCAGTCAATGAAATCCACAACAGTTAGTTTAAGCCAGTAATTTAGGAAGGTGTGGACTTTCTGGTTGGGGTCCTCGGGACTGCAAGAGCCAATGGCTGGGGAAAATTGGTGACATGGCTCAAAATCGTTCTCAATGGCTGGCGCAGATGCATCCACTCCTTGTGACTTATAATTTCTTGTTCTTCGTTATTACTATTCCTTTTGTCTCATATCCCTGTCTAATGTCTCTATTTTTCCATTTCTACTTTCTACTGCTTTGTGTGCTACATGGAGTGTGGTGACTTGAACTGTTGCACATCGGTGCAAAGTTCTATGTTGAAAACATACAGACGCTGAACTAGTCAAAAGATCCTATAAGATCTGGATTTTGCAGATGATTTATGTTTAGTCACACCAACTTGCAGATCTACAGACGAAAAACAGTAAGTTATCGGAAGAGGCTGGCAGCGAAGACTAGACTTCAAGTGAGCATAGAGAAGACAGGTGATGAAGATACTCGGCGGCAAAAAACAACAAGCACGGGAGAAATTTGAAAGAGGTTATTTTTTCACTTACCTAGGTAGTATAGTGTCAAATACAGACGGCAAAGATGAGGATGTCAGAACCAGTCAGGATCAGATAAACACGACATACCGTCAATAATCTAAAATCAAGAGTTTGTTCGTAAGGATTCTATTAGTTTCAGGTCAGACTACGGATTGATATCAGTTACAAAACCATTGAAAACCAGCAGAGAGTACTGGACAGCTGTTTCGTCAGCCTAGTTTGGGACTCATCGGCAATAAACACCCACCGCCAGGTTTTC